AAACTTGTCAGGGTAACCCAACCATTTTACATAATACTCTTTACGTTTATTACGCATGCGTGATCTTATTACTTTTTCTACTCTATAATAGTCACTGTCTGATTTGTTGACTTTCTGAAGTTCCTGTTCATAAAATGTTCCTTCCAGTCATAATCTGCAATCTTGTAAACAGGCGGTCGTCGAGGCACGCGTTTTGTTACCGTGAACACTTCTTCAGTCCAATTGGGCAAGTATCCTTTCTTAAATGTTCGCTTTGCTTAGCTAAACCGGACTTGGTCGCCAATGTTAAACTTAAACTGGATTGATTTTTTCGACTCCTTCCCGTAGAGTGTTTGCCACACAATATTCTCGTTACTTTTATTCACATCTACCGGTCTCATTCCAATACTACAATGTCGAGAATGATTATAAGATTTGACCAGTTTCTGGAGAATGTCCACGTACTTGAGCATATTGTTCACTGTAAAATATTTCCACATTTTCGTCTTGAGCATGCGATTAAACCTTTCAACAATCGATGCCTTGGTTTCGTTGTACGTCGTAAAAATCGAATGCTATGTTTCTTCAAAAAGGTTTGAAACTGTCTATTGATAAACTCCGTCCCCTTATCAGTGTGAAACATTTTCGTTTTACGGCCTTTCTTGATTATTTTCTCAAAAGCTTTGACAAGATTGTTCCCAGTTTTGGCTTTTATCACTTCAACCCACGCATATTTGCCGAGTACATCAATAACAGTTAAAACGTACTTGTACCCATTATTCTGTTGACTTAATGAATCCATAATGACTGTCGTAATCATAAAGTAATAATAGAAATGAAAAACCATACTAATTGCATGGCTTTATCCTACTTAAAGCCAGCTATAAACTTAATACGTTTTACAATGTACAAAATGGCCGACACTAAAATGACCAATGACTAACGCGGGCTCAGGTGCCACAGCAACCCAATCCGATAACTAATAAATATAAAGTTTATGTCATTCTTCCTCCCTAAAATAAAAGTTCAACTTACTAATTAATTAATTAAATAAACTAATGTAAAAGTCATCTTACTATAAGTTCAAATACTAGTAAACGAATAGTTCATTTAGCCTATTGTTTACCAACCATAACGAGATGGTGGTTTAACTTGACCAGTTGAACGTCTGAGTGCAGGTACTTGCGTTGTTGAATACTCCTGTGGATCAGAAGCTGTTGGCGATGTAGTTGAATCCTGTTGTGAATCAGTGGCCACGGGATCTGGAACATTAGGAGCTAGTCCGTTTTCCACTTCTCCGCTTGGCAGGGTTTCTTGTGGTTCATTCCGGACAGGAGTAATGGGGCAAGGAGCTAGATCTCGAAGGGAGACTGAGGACTCTCTTCCATCGGGGTACTTCACATGGGCGTAAGTAGGGTTTGCATCCGTTAGCTCTACTTGGTCGACAAACGGGTCGTTCTTGCTTGTTCTAACAAAACGCCTTAACAGGACCGGTCCCGGGTTCTGTAGCCAGGATGGTAGCGAAGTTCCCAGAGATGAACGTCGTTGGAAGTTGAAGAATCTCTCGTGTGGGGTGGTATTGGTAGAGGTAGAGAGGAGTGATCTTATGGAATGAAGGACGTCTGGAAGCACCAGTTCCCATTTTGAATCAGGTACATTTGCAGACTTGAGGGAAAGTCGAACAGCCTTCCAAATAATACCATTATAACGTTCGACCTGGCCATTTCCAATTGGGTGGTAGGGGGTTGTTTTGCTTGTTGCTATCCCTCGTCGAGACAAGTACTCCTTGAGTTCTTGTGAAAGGAATGAGGCACCATGATCCGAGTGAATATAACTAGGCATACCACAAAGGGCGAATATCTGATCAAGACATTTGATAACTGTCAAGGAGTGCATGTTTGGACAGGGGAATGCAAACGGAAAGCGAGAATATTCATCCACCACAGTCAACAAATATGCATTACAAGATGATGTTGGTAGAGGCCCCTTGAAATCGATGCTCAATCGTTCCATCGGCTGCGTAGCTTTGATAAGGACTCCGGTAAAACTGTGGTTTGAGCTCTGCGCAAGTTCTACACGATGAGCATGTCTTCTTGACATCTTCGGTAGAATAGGGTAAATTCTTCAACCTTATGAAATGCAGCATTCGAGTCACACCAGGATGGCTAAGTGCTGTATGGATTCCCATGAGACCCTCTGACGTTGACATTGAAGAAGTGAAAGCTCAGGTAAATGAATCTGGGGCTACATTGTCCTTACCAGGTCTGTGCTCCACAGTGTAGCTAAAAGAAGCTAATTCAAGTCGCCAGTCTTGCATTTTGTTGTTCTTTATCTTTGTGCGCTTCCTGCTATCAAACATAAATGCGACGGAACGTTGGTCAGTTTTAAGTGTGAAGTGACGACCAGCAAGAAAATGTCGCCACTTACGGACTGCTTCTATGATAGCCATAGCTTCTTTCTCAACAGCGGGGTAATGTAGTTCACTACGTTGGAGAGTTCTGGACATGAAGGCAACAGGACGACCACCTTGGTTAAGTGTAGCAGACAAAGCGACATCTGACGCATCACTCTCAACCACAAAGGGAAGAGTTTCATCTATGGAATGAAGGGTTGCACCTTCAAGTTCCTTCTTAAGCATATTAAATGCCGATAATGCTGCCTTATCTAGTGGGAAGGTAGTAGCTTGCGTCAAGGGTCTTACCTTATCAGAGAAATTCGGTATCCACTTCGCATAGTAAGCAAACATGCCAATCACCCTGCGAAGGGAGCGGATACTGTCTGGCGGCGGAAAATCTTGAAGTGGGCGGAGTCTTTCCTCGTCAGAAGCGATCACCCCATTGCCAACCCGATAACCTAATACATTGATGGATGTCTTAGATTCGATTGATTTGCTTTCGTTCAAGGTAAGGTTCCTGCGTTGGACTGCTTCATGAAATGCCTGAACATTTACGTCATGTTCCTTTTGATCTCGCCCAGCCACCGTTATGTTGTCCAGATATGGAAATGTGTCATTGAGGTTCTCCTCGTCAACAAAATTGTCCATTGCTCTCTGGAAAGCAGCCACTCCATTAGTGACGCCAAACGGTATACAGCAAAATTGATACAGTCTTCCATTAGCTTCGAACCCAGTAAACTTTCGATCGGACTCCTTTATCGGTACTTGATGGTAAGCACTCTTTAAATCAAACGTTGAGAAAACTTTGTATTGTGCTAGGTTGTTGATCATGTCATCGATCCGAGGAAGAGGATACGCATCAAGCTCTGTATATTGATTGATGGTTTGAGAGTAATCAATACAGAGCCTCTTCTTGTGCCGGTTTGAGGGATCTTTAGAAACAACAATTTGTGCTCTCCATGGTGTTATGGTAGGCTCAATAATTCCTTCAGACAGGAGTTTTGTAACTTCCTGATTGATAAACTCCTGGTCTTCTTTGCTAAAGCGCCTAGATCTACTGGCGATAGGCTTACATTCAGGGAGGTTTCCAAACAATGAAGGCTCCTCGAAGGAGGCTGTCGAAGAAAGAGGACAGGCAGGCCTAGGAATTACTAGTTCTGGTCTAGTACCGCCAAACTCTATGGTGACCCGCTTGTGCTTCTTCTGGAAGTCCCCAAGGAGAATGTCACTACAGAGATCTTTCAAGACTCCCAAACGAATGGATGAGTAGGAAAGTTGATTAATTACAATATCCGTAAAACAGTGACCAAGGATCTGAGTCTTAAAAGATGTTAGGGTCATAGATATCTTCTGTGTTGATGGATGAAGCTTGAGAGACAGTTTCCTTGCCATAGTTTCACTTATAAAACTTTCCGAACTCCCAGAGTCAATGAGTGCGGTCAGTTCAATACCGCCAATAGAGACTTTTACAGATGCTTGTTTTAGACTTTCTGGACAACTTGCAACAATTGAACAAAGAGTAGACGTGAACATAGAAGCAGTGGTGATTGAAGGCGCCTTTGACTTGCAAACTTTAGCATAATGTCCTTTCTTTGCACAGTTGTTACAATTAGAATTCCGGGCTGGACAACTTCTTCTGTTGTGGAGATTATCACCACAAAAGTAGCATTTCTTCGATGTGAATGTAGCTGCTAGAGAATCATAATCTAAGGCATGAGCTCCAGCAACCTCATCTGTCGGAGGGGAGGAGACTGCTGCAGTTGTAGGTATTTCAGGCATCCTATATGCTTCAGAATTCTTTTGAGCCAAGTCCAAGGCATTTGCTTGGTCAAAAGCAGTTTGAAGGTCGAGCTGTTTATTTTCTAGGAGCCATTGGCAAATCAAAGGTGATAAGAGGCCATTAATAAAGGAATCACGAACCAATTCCTCACAATACTGTTCAGCAGTTACGTTCTTAAGGTTACAATCTTTGCTAAGTTTTCGAAGTTCTTGGAGAAATTCAGTAAGAGTCTCGCCGGATTTCTGCCATCTTGTTGCCAGCAAATGTCTAGCAAATATTTCATTTGGTGTCTTGACAAATAGTTGTTCTAGTACGGGAATGGCCGATTTATAGTCCTTGCAGTCTTCAATATATTCGTAAACGTTATGAGACACATAATTTACAAGAGTTCTATATTCATCAGGAGCCTTTTCGCCACATTCATCAATAAAATTAGTAAAGGTCGGTGCCATGGCTCCAACTATAACACAGTTACGCCTGAAGTGATATCTCACAGATTTATGCAATGTATAGGTATCTTGCTTTTGTAACCACTGGCGTATTTTATTCCGCGATATCTCATATTTCCCTTCGTTTTTCATGGCGCGATACATGGAATCTATGCCACCAAAACTTGCGGGGCTTTCTGGATCGTAATAGATCTGGCTTAGATATTTCTCCGCCATCGATGTCTGAGGCTTGAATTACAATTTTTCCACCACAGCAAGCAGAAATACAGTGTACTTTTCGAAAAATGTTTCAAAGAGAAATTTGTGGTAAACCTTTACAGCAAGAAATCCTTACTCCTCAGAGGTTTGAACAAAATGAAACAGGCAGTAATTATAGACTGATATATAAAGCGATCAGTGTGAGTGAGAGCGTTATTAAAATTGGACGTTTACTTCGTTTATGTTTGGGAATAGTAAAAATTCGACATGCCTCGATGGTTTTTTTACATTGTGACGAATAGATTCCTCGCTATCATTTTGTACACATACCAAAGCTAAATAGGCAATAATACAACCAAAGTTTGTAACATTGATCTCTCTGTAGATTTGGTCAAGGTTTAGATCACGAGCATTCACTGCACGATATAGATCTTGATGGCGGTCGAGAATTGTATTTATATGAAGCGATAAAGTTTGCTTATCAATATCAATTTCATTTCGTTTCAACTCATCAAAAATTATATCTATGTTATCCATGATACTCTCACCACAACGATTGAACAACAAATGAGACACACAGTATTTATTTCAGTAAATATATGCAAATTTACATTAATTAACTAGCAACGTATTATTATTACAAGAGGTCTATTTTATCAAGTTCACTTGTTAAACCAAATCTACGAAATTCATCATAGGCCTCCTTAGTGTTAGATTTAGAACTATTAAATGTCTCTCCTGTTTCTTCAATCATGTACTGGTATTGTAGTGGATTACTGAAGAGCACGATGCCAGTGTTGGTCACCCGAGGGCCTTGTTGCTTCCATTCGAAGAAACCACAAGAGTCGTCCTTCGGACAGCAGTACAACAGATGGTTTTGATTTGGACCATCTTTCTTGACTTTTCGTTCACAGCACACCATTCCATGTTGACATAACGGTCTTGGACCTTCGAACACATCTCCCCATTGCCAGAACTTGCAGGAATTCTTTCGCTCAGAACATACGAAGAAGGGTCGTCCGTAATTATCTTTCATTGTGTCTTTGACCACACATAACTTGGCAAATTTCTGATGTGTAGGACATACGGGATGTATAGAACCACTTGCACGAAACGCAGCTACAGCTCTCGTATACATATAACAATTTTCGTCCGGGCAAAAAAATTCACAGCTTGTTTTTTCCCCACAAAACCAAAATGTACCATTGTTTGTAGTTGTAGAGGCAGCAGCTTTTCCGTGTAGACACTCCATGACTGATGTAGAACTAATGCAAAACTATGCTTGTTACAAGACGCTTGTGGATTTTATACAGACGCTCGTTAAATCAAACAACCAATCATAATAAGCCAACATTAATCCCTCAATTGTATCATAATCGTGGGGGACGCTAAAAAATGCGTAGTCAGCAAGTTTCGCCCGATCGTGTTTGAGCTCGCCCGCGTGACGTCATTACTTGCCTGATCCTACCTGTGCGACGTCATTGTATGTAATTATGACGTATGCTAATGATGATGCGCCGCCCCACGCTGTGCTGCCCCAAAAATCCGGATCGATCGGCCTCTATATTACTACTCTTGTGATGCCAATGCTCTGCAGGCGAAATCTCAATAGAATATCAAAGATTAATGGAGTGAGAGATGGCTCCGCATACAAACAGTCATTTAAACTTGGACCATCCTCCTTTGCAGACGCATTGTACATGACACGAAGCTTAGTTGTCTTCTTATCCGCACGTAGAACCACTCGGTGAGGCAGGTAGTGAATCCTTCTTGGTGAATCTTTCTTGGTGAATCTTTCTTCATTAGATACTAGTTCGATAATGTTGACTTGAAGTTGTTCCTGAATGACTTGATCATACTGTCTTAACAATTCTGGATATGACTTAAGACGTCACACAAGACTTTCCAATCTTGTCTTACTCAACTGACTTACTCAACTGATAGTTGTCTGGCAGTGGTGGATGGGTTTCCTTAAAGGGCAGTCTGACTACATATCTTTCACCATCAAATGTGATATCGTTTAAGAATTTGTCATAAACAGCTGGCTCATTCGACTTTATTCCTAGGGATTCTAAGTCCCAGAATGTTTTGATATCTTGTTCAAGTGTGTTCTCTTGAACAACTTCAGATACTACCCTTAGAACATGGATCTCACTAAGATTCACAGTTGACTCATTTGTACAGCTTTCACCTTGGACAGGACCTGATAGAACATAACCCAATTTGGTACTCAATGCAACTGGACCCGAACCAGAATCGCTACGAACAACTTCCCCAGAGACTAACGACCAATAGTAATCAGCACCAATTAATAAATCGATATTCAGATCTGATGAGTGGGTTATGTCATCTGCCAACTTCAATGATTGTAAATGACTGTACTGATGTTGATGCAAATTAATGGATTGGTTACTAATGGGTGAACAGATGGTGGGCACAACGTAGGCAGTAACATAAACTCTTTCCCTACTTGGAGTCTTGATCGCTAGTTGGACATGTCACACTTCCTCAGTTGGGCATGCGACTCGCGAAAGGTTTTTATCAACAAGGTATCACTACTACTTGAAGGGAGGCCTAGGGATTTCTGGAGTCTTTCTGTCACATAACTCCACTGGCTACAGCTATCAAAAATCATTCTAATATTCTGTGTGCTACCAGGTGTTTCCACATGTGACACTCGAGCTCTAGCAGTTTGTAAGAGCACATTATTTTTTGTACTAACAAACATACTGGTTGATGGTGTTCCCATGGCTTCAGAATCAAATTGTGGTGTAACAACTGAGTTTGGTGGGTGGAGGGTACTTGCGGGACAAACTGGATTACCTGGGGAGTATGGAAATTGAGGTGCATGCATGTTTGTTGCTGGATAGGTTGGTACAAATAGGTTGCTGGATGATACATTTGTCTGTTGTGGTGTAAATGGAAATGAGAGGCATTTGGTACATGTGGGGTATTGGAATGACAAGGTGGGCTAACTGGGTAGTATGGGGGTTGATGTACAAGCATATTTGTTGATGGACATAAGGGTACAAATTTCTTTGTTGTGGTACATTTGGGTTAACTGATTGTGGGGTGTAGGCCTTAGGCTTACTACGGGTTTCACATATGGATGTATGATGATTATTACCACAGTTATAACAGGGTTTTCCCGATTTGCAATCTCTAACTAAGTGGCCAGTTTTAAGACATTTGAAGCACTTACACCGTCGACGCAGAATCTGCTTTCTAGCAGAGATATCGGTCACAATTGTACAGTTAGATGATGGATGGTTCCCATTACAAAATGTACACCATGGCCCTTCCCTTGATTGAACATTCTTGTTCTCTGTTAGCAAGGCAGCTGTAGATGATTGATAACGATTGATATATTTCCCTTTGACTGAAATGTTGTTCTTTCCGCTGACCAGTACCACTGACAAGGGCACATTTCTCTTGCAGTTGCAATTCTGTATTAAATATCTTGAGAAGTGGTTCTAATTTCCACTCACCAGATGGCAAATCCCTTGTAATAATAATACTCAATTCTTCTGGAATCTTTGACATAACAACTGGAGCAAGAAATGAACCATATGTATCTGGAGAAACACCAACATTTTGTAGAATTCGAACATGCGATTCCAACTTGTCATAAATATTTCTCAGTTTCTTCACCTCACCCATTGATGTAGCTTCAGGCAATTTCAACAAGGAATCCATTTGACTTGAAATAACAACTTGCTTATTCCCATATCTTTCTTTTAGTAATTTGATAGCTTCACAATAATTTTCCTTTGTAAGCGAAAATCCACTGATTGTTTCTGCTGCAGAACCATGTAATAATGATTTCAAGTAATTGAATTTGTCCACATCACTTAATGACGAGTTTGACCCAACTGCAGAATCAAACGAATCCCAAAATGCCTGCCAGTCAACAGGATTACCAGAGACAACTTAGGTAATTTAGCCTTGATAGGTGCAGTACTTGGTGTAAGAACTGGTTGATGTGGACTCACTTGAACTTTTTCACTTTCCGTCAATACAATATCAATTTGAACGAGGCATTCGTCGACTGTGGCATTAAACTCTGAGCTATCAATAATTTCCTTCTCGATATTATCTTTCACGTTCAAAAGATCAACAATTTCACCATTTATACTTTCCAAGAGAGCAATTTTACCTTCTAAAATTCGTTTATTTACTTGTAGCTTCCGACAGATATCTTCAGTAATTTCACCAGCAATCAACTCACGAGATTCTGTCATAACGCTTTCTACAAATGTACGGTGGCCTTGACGCGCCTTGATTTTCTTCTTGACATCCGCCATACTTGATATATTTCAACGAGATTCAATACAAATATTTCGATAAAATTCCAACTTTAAACACTTGAATTTACTCTAAACTAGACTCAATACTTCCCGGGAGTCAACACCATGAAATAAAATGTTGATTACTTCTGATTTATTTGTAAACTTTGAGAATTTTTCTTGATAAACTTCGATCAGAACTTCAAAACATACAGATTACAAGAGAGCACATTGTTCACAATTATTATGTCATGCATAATTAATACGTCATGCATAATTATGATAAGTTATCGCGATAATGTCAATTAAACCATTGTTTTGACAGCGATTTACTTTATTTATTTATTTAACTTCGCCATTATCATGCATGCATTCATGGCAGGGTCACCACAACAGTATGTGTTACCAATTACTGTGGGCCCTTTAGATTATAAATACATAATAAAACACAAATAAAATACAACGAAAACTTCGATTTACCTGATCAAAGTCATCACATGAATTGGAACTTGAAGCCAAGCAAACAAATTCCTCAAAGTTTTCGTTGTATTGTATTTCACAAACATACTTAATTAGCTGCTTGCAAATTTTATAAAACATATAACAATTCATAGAATATAAAATAGCTATTGAAACTTAATAAACAAGGCTAGGAAGATCTGACAACTTCGAAAAATAGATCAAAACAGTAAAGAACCTGGATGTGCACAAATTGACACAAATCTATGCAAATTTAGACAGAACATAAAATTAAGACTTACAACCTTCCTAATCATGTTTATATTTCAATAACTATGATACACTAATAGCAGCAAGAGAGTGAAGCAGCAAGACTACGAGCAGTGTTACACTTTAAGCAGATAGACTTCCATGTCCGAGGATTTTGAGGTTGATAATTTAGGTATAAGGCAGTTTTGAAGTAGTCTAACAGCAGAGATTTAAATCTTGGTAAAGTGAGACTGATGTCTCAGTTCTGCAGGAAGAACGTTCCAAACTCTTGCTGTTCTATTCATGAACGACCCTTGGAATGTTACTGTTCTGCATTTTCTAATCCTGAACGTAATGATGTCAGAATTGCTCGTAGCTCGCGTTGTTCTTATATTTCCATGCTTCCGTTCAGGGATTATCTCCTCACTGACGCACACCAACCCGTTAAACATCTTGGAGAAAAACGTCAAGTCTAAATATTCATGCCAGAAACTAATCGGTAGTAAATCGGTAGCTTGTAGTCAATCCTCGTAAGTTAGTTCGCAGTGGAATGGAAGGTTTAGTGTGAATTTTGTTGCACGACGCTGCACTCTTTCGACGCGCTTGATAAGCTCGATGGTCTGAGGGGCCCAAATCTGGGTGGTGTAGCCAAGGTGTGGTCGTACAACAGAGAGGAACAGACATCTTCTTGTTCTTTGGTTTCGTATCTCCCGGGAAGATCTCCTGACAAATCCCAGAAGTTTGTTCGCTTTTGAAGTCTGTTCGACAACTTGTTTCTTCCAGCACAACTCATTCGACACCCATACACCGAGATCTTTCTCTTGATTAGCAGCGGCAAGTACTGATCCATTCAGGGCGTAGGGATACTCAACTGGTGTTTTTTTCCGTGTGATGCGCTGGCACTTACACTTCGTTTGGTTGAATGTCAAACCGTTATCTGTGGCCCAACCGTTAAGACTGATAATGTCGTTTTGAAGACCAGCAGTGTCTTGCAGGTTGTCCACTTGCTTCAGAATCTTCGTATCATCAGCGAAACAAGCGACTTTTGATGTATTCACAGTCTTGGGCAGATCATTCACATATAAAAGAAAGAGCATTGGTCCAAGGATGGAACCTTGAGGAACACCAGATGTTACGTTGCATTCTTTTGATGTCGCACCAAGTACCGTAACACGTTGTCTTCGCCCACGAAGGTAGGATGTAAACCAGTTCAACAGGTTACCAGAGATGTTGTACTGGCATAGTTTATCAAGGATAAGACAGTGTTGCACTTTATCAAAGGCTTTCGACATATCTACAATCAGTTTCAAATGTGTTGGGACAGATGCAACAAAACACTTTAATTTTAACAAATGTCGATCCCCCCCGCCCCCTATTCAATGTTGTGTGCCATTGTTCGTCAAGTTTGATGAGTATTGGTATTCGAATCGAGAAAACAACATTGATTGGGGAGGGGGGAGGGGGAGGGGGGCGGTATTGTGTGTGACAAACTGTATAGATTGATTTACGTCTTAAAACTGCATGTGTCCCAACAACTTTTGAAAGTGATTGTCTGAAAGGCATATATGACCTACTTGACTTACAGAGTATTTTACAAAGTCGTTTTTACGAAATTCATATAGGATTTACCGTAACATAATTACTGAATTGCATTGGCAAATGTAATGTTTTTACTGTGCTTGTTATTGCCAATAAGTTTGAAATCTAACATAATACAATTGTACATTAGAAATTAACTTATAAACAGATGTGATATATGCGGAGGAAGGTATATCGAGAGATACTTTATTAATAGTGGTCTATGCAAGAACTAAATGCACATTTATCCGGTTAATTAGCGACCTAGATTATTTCTAAGTAGAATGCAAGGGGTAGTTCATGGAGACCACTTAAAAATTGTGCACATATGACGCAATTGTCAAACGTGTGTGGGTGTGCGCCGTGCGTCATCAATGCGCGTGTACTTTTTTGTGTAATTCTTTGATAGTCTTGCTGAACTTTATTCTCGCGATGGGGTTTTTGAAAAAGATATCTGACGAAACACGGGCTCTTGTTAGGTTTTTGGGTATGGAAAAAAATATTCGATCCTGAAATTGAGAGTCAAGCTATCTCGGAGTGCATATATCAAGAAACGTGGCCTGAATTTAAAGCAAGAGTGCGTAAAACTATACTCAAAATACCAACTACTTATATTAACAATCTTTTATTAAGCATGCCCAAACGCATTGATGATGTGATTAAATGTAAAGGATTCAGAACAAAGTATTGACGATATGATATAATGAAATATATATATGTAATATGAGACGCTTTGAACATGTGCTCCATTGACACGCGATTGTCACTTTATTCACAGACCATTTGCAATGATTTAGCTTTAACATGTTACAGCAAAATAATTTTTGGAACATTTACTATTAAGGGAAAGTGTCGAGGGAGCATGCATTAATATATTACGGGTTCTACTTAATCACAAAATATATAAAAATTGTAAAAAGTTATCGATTGACACTCAACTCTAGAAATCACTATATGATACTCAAATATATTTATATAAAAAGTGACAATCGATCCAAAACTGGGTTTCCTCACTTTTATATATAATTAAACCATTTAAAAACTAGCTAACACAATGTTATACATTGTCAACATATTTTTCTCAGCCTTAGTCTGTTTTAAAAGCTTTTCATTTTCTTGTTATTTCATATTTCTAAAGTGACAATCGATGTGTCAACCGATGGTAGTTGGATTGCAATAGTCTGATCCGAAAAAGCTTATTAGCATAATTGCCGTCTAGCGCATATCACTAACATTGTGTCATCCTAAGTTAATGAGCAGTGTTGTTTATGATAAGTTTCGCAAAACATGAATTACATGCTTTAATCTCCTTCTGTTCGTTTTGTGGTATTTGCCGATGCAACTGATAGGTGTGCCATCTAACTTGCATCATTTCGTTGTTAATCCGGTCAATCGAGCCACCCTTGATAAGTGCAAGTGGGGCATCGCTTGTTGCAAAGAACGGTGTATCTTTATCTAGGACAATGTCCTTGTTCATCACATTTTTGGGTGCAGGGAAATGAACAGTATCGCCCTCGAGCACTTGCAGCAACTCACACCAGGGAATTAGTGAAGGCTTCCAGCGGAAGTCGTTTAACAAGACTACCTCTGCGTTCTCAATTCCAAGCCACGCGAAAGTTCCGGATGCCGGGTTCATGAAGCATTCGAAGATCTTTTTGAGTGGAGAGAGAAGGAAGGTTTTGCCACAATTTGCAGGGCCATATATGTATACGTTACGGTATTTTCCTCGGCCGCGTTTTAAAGCATCATGAAGAGCAGATGAAAAATCTTGTATACCGATGCCATTTAAAACTAAAATTTCTTTGCAGCTGATAACCACTCCCCTTGGCAACCATCAACACATGCGCTTGCCGCACTCTCTTCCAATAACTCAATACTTGTTTTGTTTGCTCTTTTCAGTCTTTCGTGCGCTTCGTTTAGCTCCTTGGCTGTTTCCATAGCCTCATTCACAATTTTAGGACCTCTGTTGGCAACGAACTCTGCCAGGTCTGTTTTTCCCTCTTCTTGCCATTTCGCAGCCAGGGCCATAAGCTCCAGACGAGACTGTATTTGTTTTGTTTGTACGATACGTACAACGTCGTACACGGCGAGTCGCTTTCGTTTCTTCTTTTTCGAAACCTTTGCTGCTTTCTTTCTTTGTGATGTCGCCTTTGTAGTGGGTGGCGGGTCAGCATTGGAGAGGTCTGGATGCCCTGGAGAAAGCACGAAGTCCGGGTCTTCCTTTACCACGTACGAATACGTTGTATAGTAATTTTCGTGACTATCCGAAAAGTTCAACTTGATGCCATATTTAGTATCTACTAACTTTCGGATAGCTCGCCACCTCGATGTTACCGTCAATTTTATAGCCATGTGGAAGTGACTACCACCATTTTCATGGGCCTCCAAACTCACTACCCACTGACAGATCCTTGATCGGGAGCGCGAATGCCATGCGTCAACAATTATATTTGCAAATTCTGCTCGCGAAAGATGTGAACTGTCACATTGACTAAAAGTGATTAAATAAACGCTCCTTAGCTTCGGGGTACCCGAGTTAGCTGTTGACTCAGCCATTGCTCGCCTGCGAATAATAACCGGATGCTATATTACTATGCTGTAAACTAACACTAAGTATGATAGATCTAACGTAAAACAGTTGCGATACCTGTCTTTATTGACAGATTAGAGCATCTCAAATAACCCACTTGTACTCTAGCAAGATTTGTAAAAACAAACAACACATAAAATATTTGTGATTAAAAATGACATATGAAATAAAATATATATTCATATTCTGTTAATTATTAACTTTCTGAATTGCAAAGAAGCGTCATTGTTTTAAAATGTTATATTACCTATCTTATGCTTTAAAAAGGAGCTAAAATACTATGTTCTTGGACCATTCTGTTACCTATATTTTTGAGATATGTAAAATGTTGTGGGATATGGAGTTGGATGGCAATAGTCTGTACCGAAAAGTTTTTACACTGTTTAGTGCGGCGCTCATTCGGGGGCGGCGTTCTTTTAAAAAAATTGATCTCAAATGCGGCGCTTATTCGGGGGCGGCGCTCAATCGGGGACGGCGCTCAATCGAGTAAATACGGTAAGTTGAAGCGTTTGTGGATCATATTTTTGATAGATAGAAAGATAAATAGACAGATAGATGGACAGATGGATGGATTGGATGGATGGATGGATAGCAGACTTTACAATTATGAATATAGATATACATACATATCAAATTACATATATAGTTTTAATAAATAACAAATTGCGGCCTAAAAGGCTGAATTGTGTGCTGAACGTCTTATTTTTATTTCGTATTTACACGCCTTATGCATGCATGCAGGGATAAAAGAATTTCTAAACCTGTTTGTTTTGATGTGTTTGGTAACAATATTCTTCAAATTTCTGAGGTTATATTTTGGGAACAATTTTGACGGTATAAGATCGTGTATGTCTGACGCTGGTGTAGTGATGATTCCATAGAACAATTTCTCGCAATGCAGCAACGCATCGATCACTTAACGTATTTATACCACATTTTTCTAAGTAATCCGTGTCGGCTTGAACCACATTCAAGTGACAGGACATGCTCTTTTGAACCCGTTCAATGAACACCTTTTAGCTACCCGAGGTGGGCCAATTCCGCCAAATCCCGAACTCACCTCCCTGCCAGTATGTTTGGTTTTATCGCATGCATTTCGGGAAAAAGTACTGAAGAAATTACTCATTTTAGCCGCCAACATACTACGCAAACAAACAAACTTAGGCTTAAGTTGAAGCTAAAAAAATTATCTACAATACTCCCTTATTCTTGAAGAAAAAATGCACACATTATGCGAAAACATTGCGAAAGTTTATGACGAACCTACCTATAACAAATTTCGGCGGCCATCCTGAAATACATCAATCCTGAACCCACATCCTAACTGGTGGGTTCGAGTTTGGACGCACCTCTTCGGAACATAAGGGAGTTTATAAGCTTCGCGTTCATACGTTAAACGTCAAACACCAGGAAAGAAAATTTTACACTATAAGGCAATGCGGAAGGGAAAATGTTTTTGCTATTTTAAAACTGTAATGTATTATATTTTGAGAAAAGAAAAAAAATATGAAGTAAAGAAGTTATGCGAAAATTCTAGCAAGAAATCCCAACTCTGCCGTTTGCTGTTGCCCTCAAACGTGAAGCTTAAACTCCCTATTAGGAAGGCCCCTTTTACGATAAGCATGAGATAAGACGCGTAGCCACTATTCCGTAACTGACCTGATGCAAGTAGTGTAGAAGTAAAATTTTAAATATTGTTTCGGAACTACTGAGTGGAAGAAGAGGATAATTCTTTCTTTGTATGATTGCATGGCTAATTCTTTCTTGTGAGGGCCAAACAAAAGGAAAAGACACAATTGACACAACTATATATACCTTGTATATATACCACCCGCTAACACACTTCACAAGCACAGTCAACCCAAGACTCTGTGATGTATGCTATAGCCTCAATACGTAACACAGTTACAGCATTATTCGATGTTTCTCTAAAAATCACAACAAATCTCCAATACTATCCATCTATTTTCTTAATGTAATTTTGTTATACCAATGGGATGGTTTGTCCAAGGCTATTCCACCTATAGCCGTTCAACCAATGTTAACCTTTATGACGGTCATGTATTTAATGACAATGGCCAAAATTACTACACTATTCAAGGCCGTCGAAGTAAATTAATATTCGTAGGGAGGGGGGGGGGGGGCTAGCTTAAGAATAAATTGAATAAATCTGAATTGCTTTAATTTCGCACTTTTCTAGTTCTTTTCCAACGGCCTTGCTATTCGGCCCACGTTGCAACGCGAATCAGGTCACGTGTATATGATCACAAGTGTATATGATCAAGTGTATATGTCCAAAATATATATATCCACGCAAGTAAACAAATTTCAACCCAAACAATATATTCCCATGTGCAAGGGCTTTCCCCAGCAGCTAATCCCTCATTCTTTAATTGGCTCTAACTCTTTTAATATGATTGGCTCCTAAAACAAAGGGATTTGAATGGGCAGCTCGAGTAAGCAGACGTTAGTTTTTCGTCGCTTGGCGTAAGAATAACAAAGTCTGCGACCAGGCTAGGTCTAATCAGACACTGTGATAAATGTGTATCATCAAATCACACCTATCTATTACCAAGTAATAACCTTACATACAGTACATACTAGCTTCAATTTCTGTATTTCTTCACTAGGTTGACATACTGAAGACACAAAACAGCACACGCATTATATGCGTGCACCTAATATACCATATTTCACGGCATGGTTTATTTTCCAGACCCTGTTGAAGACGCATGTAGAGGTGATATTACCTACATCCCAAAATTAGAATATTCAGTGTAATACTATTTACATGACTATCGAAACGAACAAATATAGCTATTAGACGGCCAAATGTGCCCCAAAAAGTTTGATGGCATTCTTTAATTTGTTAAAAACTTAAAAGCTGCAACTGGCATGACCAAAATACCAAACGATGTAATCTCCATTATATCACTGCTTCGCCTTGGTCCCTCCTACTGTACTGTGCTGCCACGAACGTCGTCATGTCTGACTTATGAATTAAATCAATTTCGTCAGACAAACTCTTATATTAATATCCCTACACCTTCGTGCCTTCCGTTTGACTTGAAATAACCGTCTATTTTATCATTGTACGCATAATGTCAATTTCTACCTCCATCGAGAGAGGTTGAAAATACGCAGTGCTAGTGGTATCGCCGCATTCTTAAAGTTTGTGATCTTCTTATATATAAGCTACGCCATGGCAGTCTTGGCAGACAAGTTTCGCTGTGTTATTGAATTTGGCGCGCTAACGCTGTTTACTTAGCTCTAGTTACGTAGTGTAACAGAACACTAATATAAAAGCAACATTTTAACTATTTACATAGTTATATATTACAAAATCTCTTCCTACGGAGATAAAATATCACACCAGCTTGCCTAATTTCGTCGCAAGCAAATCAATTCACTGTCATCAATCAGGCACATTGAGCAGTATACAAACACCTCGAGACTTAATTTCTTCACACATCGTGCGGGTTGTAATGTAAAGGACTACAGTATGTCGACTAAAAATTCAAAATTCGGATGTTCACTTTTAGCGAAAATAACCGTCGCCTAACTGAACATTGACAGAAACTATACATTTCCAAATATAACTGTTTATTAATTAATATTTCTCATCACGAAATTTGCTGTGCAAAGGATCGTGTCCTGTCTTTATATGCAATATTTTTCACTTGACGTATTCGCTTTATCTATCTTCTTAATTCCGTCAAATGTGCCAATAAAAATATTAATCATTACTGGGAATAATACTGTTTTGGGAAATTTGTTTTGATAACTTACATCGTGCACGAAAACTGATTTGAGTTCTGACATACAGCTATTTCAATTAAGGTTGTCCCCCGAGCAAAGCGGAAAAGTCGAATACGAGGGCGAAAGCCGCTGGGAATCGCTAATAAATTCATTAATTTTTATAGCGATTCCCAGCAGCCTTCGCGCTTGCATTCGACTTTTCCGCTTTGCTCGTGGACAACCTTAATTGAAATAGCTGTATACCTATTTTGTCTATTGTTAAACTTGTTCTCTATGACGAATTATTTTGCGTGCAGCGAATATTTGCGTTTGTTCTTGAGACAAAAGAATAGAATTTGATTTGTGCGAAGAAAGTCGCAAAAGCCTTTACATAATAGACAGAAAGACGTACTGCTTGATATGACATTGTATATATATTTTAAAAACAACAAAATATTAAACAAATCTTACCTTGATGATTATGACTGTAACTGTTGTAATGATAGGCAATACTGAGAAACAAGGAACCTTTTCCTATACTTAAATATGACGTTATTCTGGTGGTTTGTATCATTTCAACGGGGCATGAATACATATACCAGAAATTCTCAGTGAAAATCAATGAACCGTACTATATTGGACGCACTGATGCGTAACAGTATATTACTGTTGTAAATACGAGGCAAAATTTTTCAGCAAGCGTATGCAGTTTCGTATTTTGTTAAAATTTCTTCAAATTTTGCCAATTGATCAACGAACTCGTCCTCTTCAAAGAAAAGGTAAGTAATTATTAATTACTACTAATTATTATTTTGTTCATTGTTATTTTCGTTCCATTTCCGCTCTTCTCAAAGGTACTTTTGGTCAGACTCCATATTAACTCAAACCCATTGCCATTGTGCTTGGACAATTACTTGCCTTCCAACTTGCAGCTTGTCAAAATTGTGCGGGTTAGTGAAGAAGCAAGCCCATTGCTGGCATTATACTACAGTCTACATAACTTGCAGTTATAAAACAAGCCGGACTATTTTATATTAATATAGTGGTCACTGGCATGGCTCTGACTGCAAATATGCATGGGTGTTTTTGTTGAGATCTATTGTTCAAGGATTGTTTCCTACCACAATTTCTCACATAGTTGTTATTCAAATGATAGCCATTTTTGTAAAATGCAGTCAATTTAAATCCAATTTAAATCCAATTTGTTTGTCCTGGACCCTCAGACCCCCTTTTCTTCGGAAACTGAGATGGCAGTGGAAATCAATCAGAAAAAGCTCTATATTGTAATTATTACACTTCAGGTAAATTTTTAACATTGAAGTTCAAATTTCAAGTAAGTTCTTACTCCACCTCTTCCCCCCCGAAACAAACAAACTTCAGATGCTTCGCTACATCCCTGAAGATCAGTGCAATCACCTGCATACAACACTGAACCTTGCAGTTGTGAGGGTATATGAAAAAGGAAACCCACAGCCATTGTGCTGAGATCATACGCCAGTTAGGCCAGTTAACCGATTAAGAGCCAGCGCTCTCCCCCTTGACGAGTAAAAACGTCTGGGGTTAGACAAAGTAAAATAGTCTGGGGTTAGACAGAGTAAAATAATAAAGTAAGACGCAATGCGACTCAATGGGTTAAATTTATACCTGAATCATTTACAAAATTTCAGTATTATGATCTGCCTTAAATATTTTGTTCTTTTTAATTAAACAATTTTCAGATAAAACGCGATTCAAAATCATGGATGACGCATGACATCTGCAGTACTTCACACAACTTAGTAAACACATAATATGGTGACTGGTGATAATAATTGATAATATAGGAAGATCAGAATATGCAAGTATCGCGATGGCACTACAATTACTGTCAGAGAAATGTTTTAGTGGTGATGACATAATCAATTGGATGAGTTCATTATAAATTCCGATGCTGTTAGATCTTACAATAAATAAAAAATGTTTAAAATCTATCTAGTATTAAATATTATATTAGTGAAGAACTTTGAATTTAAAGGTTTTATGAAATCTGCGATGCCAGCAATTCAAGAAAATTTTTAAACCATGCAATGAAATCTTAATGAATTGCTGAATTGTTTAGACATGCATTACAATGCCTCTTATACTGTTACAGTATTTTTGTAGTGAAAGTTTGAAAGGCAGTAAATTGACATCATTAGTTGCTGTATAGGAGCAATTTATTTAAAAAATAAATTGGGATTAATAAGAGGCAACATCCATACCTAAAACTATGTAACCTAAACGGTAACGATAACCAGGGAAAACAACCGCTTTCCTCTCCGGGCAATATCTGCCAAGCGTCAATATCAAACTGCCAATATAATCCTATTTTGCTAAGCCGACATTCTTCAGTTATCAGCAAAAGCTAGCCAAATCTCATCTCAGTTCACTCTGGTTTCAACGGTCTTCGAGACAACATAAAAGGAAAATCCCACCCACCCAACCCTTTAATGAAGAAGATGATCCAATAATCAGGAACTATAGAAACTTAATTAAATATAGGAAATCAATTGTAATCATATCTATATTGTTCTGTTTTATCAACTTGTAAATAATTTTATACATTCAAGAAGAAATAAAGAAAGCGGGACGGAAAGTGCTGTCCACACGGCCACACTTCGCCCACGGTGAAGCACACACCGGCAAAAGAGAGCAAGGTCCATAACGACGGGGGCCCCTTACCCTCGTCCTGATCTTCGCATCTCTCGATCACTTCACCACGGGGAAGCCCGGCTCGGACATGAGATTCAATGTCCATAACGGTGAGGGCCCCTTACTCTCACCCTGATGTTGTTTCTCCAGCTTTTCTGGGGGCCCCTTGCCCCCAAGAAACCGCACTTTCCGTCACCCAATTTGGCCACAAAGGATTTGCGTGATTTATTAATGCTTATTATTAAAGCAAAGTATTTATTAATTAAAGTGTGACTCAATTGCTATCTACCATTGCTATCTACCATTTATTGCCATTGTAAGAATGATACTGCATCTTTTTCATTTTGACCATTATTCTATTGTAATTGTTAACTTTGTATCACAATGAATGTTTCTGATGAATGTTTATGACAATCTGAACTCCTGACCAGCTGTATTAAAGACTGAATAGTCTAGCCACATGTACGCAGTCGCACCTAGTTTTTATATTGTAGATTTGTCGTTGTTTGTTTAAAATTGTTATTAATTTATTCTTTTATACTAAGGTACATTGGAAAACCATTGGCTCTGAACTTTACTACTAAAATGTAAATCAGTCAAACAAGCGTGTAAACGGGCCCTCGAACAAAGTATGCATGATATAATCCATAAAAAGGCGTCGATAGGCATGCCCAAGAAACCCGGTAGATTTTGCATTCCCCGGGATTTCCCAAGGTTTGCCCAGGGTTACCCCCCTCGGGCAAGACAATGAGAGGTGCATAAAACCTTGACTTTGTTATTACCGTCGCTTGCAACTAACGATGAACGGTCACGCATAAAAACATTGCCTATTCGCGAGGGAATTATAAGTTTTTTTATTTTATCATAATAGCAATTTTTCTATAAATATATTGATGTTAGATTTATTGAATCAATATTTTAAGTTTCAGGCCAGTTGTATCAAACGTTATAAGCGCTAGCGCATCATAAAGCTAGGTTTCAGATGGCATGCAACACGCACGCACTGCGTACCTATTATTGTTGCTTTCCAATCGAATTTGCATTTCTTAAACTATTTCAGATTTTCATATAGTATACTGACAATTCCGAGGACCATACACTAATTTACTAATACTGTCCAAAATGCATAGAAGGTTCGCTGTGATTGGTCGAGCGGAGAGAATGGAATGTGCCGCTCGCTTCAGCAGACGTTAGTTAGCGAGCGTTGCAGCTATAAGAGCGTCAGCGAGGCCATTAATGGGCATCAGCGTCAACATGCGTAATTCGAAATTAGAATTCTGACAAGTTACCACGTACACGAAAATTTGTACATGTACCTATTTTGTGTTTTGTTAAGCTTGTTCTCTACGGCGAATTATTTTGCGCGAAGCGAATATTTGCGTTTGTTCTTGAGACAAAAAAATAAAATTTGATTTGTGCGAAGAAAATCGCAAAAGCCTTTACATAATAGACAGAAAGACGTACAGCTTGATATGACATTGTATATATATTTTAAAAACAACAAAATATTAAACAAGTCTTACCTTGACGATTATGACTGTAACTGTTATAATGATAGGCAATACTGAGAAACAAGGAACCTTTTCCTATACTTAAATATGACGTTTTTCTGGTGGTTTGTATAATTTCAACGGGGTATGAATACATACCAGAAATTCTCAGTGAAAGTCAATGAAGCGTATTATATTGGACGCAGTGATGCGCTTCATTCTCAAATGAAAACTCACCGAGATTTTTGTGGCACGGGTAAACAAATTTAAATTTTAACTAATTTATCCCGTTTTTTCAGAAGTATGTATGAAATGCATGTGAACGCCTAGAAAAATGCTATTAAGACATTTATCAACGACTAATCCGATCGATCGCTTTAATGAATGAATTGGTACTACTCATGTCTCATGAATGCTAATTCTTTAATTTCTTTTACAGGTATCATAAACAAAAATATATAATTAATTACTTTTGCATTTCGTCCTGTCATTTCGCTTGATTGACTTGAGCACTGGTTGTATTTGCACACCTGTTGAACCGATTCAATCCAAAATAACGTAATTTATTACATTTATTTTGAAATCAATGGTGTTTTAGCAATCTGCAGTTTGCTCTTAGGAGTGAGATTTATAGATTTACGCGCGAATCGCATCCTTAAGCCGGTTTTCCACTAGGCGGAATTTTGCGCGCGTAGCGGAAATTTTCTTTGTCTTGTGATTTCTCGGGTGGGACTAATTAGAAAAGACAAAGGGAAATTCCGCTCCGCGCGCAAAATTCCGCCTAGTGGAAAACCGGCTTTAAAGGTCGTTTTCCACTAGGTGGAATTTTCCGCGCGGAGCGGAATTTCTCTTTGTCTTTTCTAATTAGTTCCACCTGAGAAATCACAAGACAAAGAGAAATTCCGCTCCGCGCGGAAAATTCCATTTACTGGAAAACGGCCTTTAGGCCTGTTCTAAACGTCGCATTTTACATGTGCCGAATGCATTCAAAACAATAGATAATCAGCTGGAATGCCTCGTTATCCATTATTTTGAATGCATTCGGCGCATGTAAAATGCGACGTTTAGAACAGGCTTTAAGGCGGTTTTCTGTTACTCCTATTTCCCTTCACGTATGGAACATAACGATTGCAAAAGATATATATTTTATTACTAACAAAATGTGAACTATATAAACTCTCGTTTTACATGTGCTCGAAGCAACTGTTAATCTATATTGTCCCGCGAGTGTCCCACGCGTGATTCTTGCGTAATCATACAACTAAGGGCAGGGGCCCTACACTTTCCCCCTGGAAAGAAATGTCAAACACGACATTGATTCAATGAATCATGAAATCGCCAACAATTACATATCTCACAAACTTATCCAACACGAGATGCTGCAGTCATTTCGGGCAAGAGTCAGTTCGTTTCTTTATACTCGTCCCACTATCGTATGTTTTCAAACAACATCGTTTCAAATTTCAAATCTAGCAAGCACTTAAAGTTTCTTTCGAAGATCACGATCTTCAGTTCAATACAACGTTAACGTACTTATCTAATTAAAGAACATTGTTCCACAGTACGGACAATGAGGTCCGAGGTATGCAAAGGGATTATAAGGTAGGGGGGTTGGCTGCCACATATAAGGAATGGAATTCATTGGTGGGAAAGGCATCACTCCTGGTTGACTACGCTCTACAAAACCGAAAATAGTGTTCATACTACCAGGGTATGAAATGCCTGTGACTGGGTTACCTGGTGTCCAGTAATTTAGTCTTGGTGGTGGGTTTCTGTTTCTGCTAGGTCTGGTATTTTCCATAGGTGGTGATGGAATAGACGCATTTTCCGTTGCTGGCGGTGGAATGGTTGGTTGTTGTTCATCAAGGGCCAATACATCTGGGTTCCCGACCTCTGGTAACCGTCTGAGTTTTCTATCTCATCATGTCCCTGCTCGCCGTCTTGAGCTGGTGTTGCCGCGTCGGTTACGTCTGCTCCACTCTTCTGATCATTCGCCAATGGTACAAATGTTAACCCATCTAATTCGTCTTCATCTGATTCCGGTTGACTAGTAGATCTTGTGCTGGGAAGAACTGTATTCTGTCTTCGACGACGAGGCGTTTTTTTGGTTCAACAGCGGTTCAACAGGAAGTGAACTACACGGTAACAGCATATTACGATGAAGAGTTCTACTCGGACCATCAGAACTTTCGGGTTTAACTGTATAGACTGGGCTATCTTCCCCTCTCCTAGTGACCACGACATGTATCTTGTCTTCCCAATGAGTTCGCAGCTTGCAAGGTTTATCTCGTTTACTCAGATTTCGTACAAGAACTCTATCCGCCGGTCGTAACTCCGAACTACGGATGCGGCGGTCGTATAGCTTTTTCCCTTTCGCCCTACTCTGTGAACTCTTTTCGTTTGCAATCTTGTACGCTTCAGACATCGCTTCGCTCCAGTTGTTAACATACTCTCTATAAGTAGGTGACTCATTTGACTCGCTCTCCAGGTTTAGGATCATATCAACAGGTAGACGAGGGTGTCTGCCAAATAAGAGATAAAATGGCGAGAATCCTGTTGACTCGTGACGCGTGCAATTATAGGCGTGTACCATTTTCTGGAGGTGGTCTTTCCAGTGTGATTTTTGCGTTTCCGGTAGGGTTCGCAGCATGGCAAGGAGGGTACGATTGAAGCGTTCCACTTGACCATTACCTTGCGGATGATACGGGGTAGTCCTTGAATGTCCAATACCACACAGTTTTTCCAGTTGTTTGAAGAGGTGATTTTCAAATTCTCCTCCCTGATCGTGATGGAGTTTTTTTGGAAAACCGAAACGCAAAATAAAGTCATTATATAACTTTTCCGCCACTGTCTTAGCTGACTTATTTCGGGTTGCATAGGCTTGTGCGTAACGGGTAAAATGATCCATTATAACCAAGATATACTCGTAACCGCCACTACTTTTCTCAAGATGAACAAAGTCTAAAGACACCATCTGGAATGGAGCAGTTGTTGTCCCCGAGCCGACGGCGCGAAGCGCCGTGCGAGGGTACTAATTCCTCCCGGCTATTTACACCCGGGGAAACGAAAGCATTAGCGGAGTCTAAAGTTCATCAAATATCGCGGGCGTGGGTGACCAACGATGGGTGGTCATCCTCACTGATCTCAAAAATATGGCGGACTGTCATGAATAGCGGACACTGATTGGTCCAATTTAAATTTTGCATTATAACGACTGGCACGAATGTATCACGACAGCGAAATAGCAAACATTTCTTAATTTGATGATTGATAAATTTCTTGCAAATATATTTCATTTTTACTCGCATTTTTGCAAGATTTTGTAAATTTCAAAAGCTCTCTCAAAATGAAACTGCGAAAGAATCGTCTAAAAGAAGGGAGCCGACGTTAACGAAGGTAAGTTTGTTTTAAATATTGATTTTATAATGGCTTTAAAACCCGACGGCCTTTGCGTATATGAAACAACTAAACAAACAGCATATAATTTTAGTGTATCTTTAATATTGATTCCCTTTTTTATGATATTGAATTTCTAAATAAAAAAGAAAGCACTGAGTTATTTGCAAGCCAGAATTTGAAATCATTTTATTGCTAACTCAAAGTTTATCGATAAAGCCATTTTAAAAGGCAGTTTAGTTTTATAATGAACACTAGTGACTTTAAAACGTTTTGCGAAGCGTTTGTGGTTGAATTTTACCTTAAATTGAGGCTTATATTACGTATAAAAACATACCTAACATATATTTATGTTGGGAAATTAATAATTTTGTAATTAAAAGTGATATTTTTAGGCGATTTTTCATTTGTAAGAATATTCTTAAAAAATTATCGTGTTACCATGACAACTACTTTAGAACTTCATGTTCGGAAAATACAATGGTTTTGTCAGCAAGGCGAGGGTTTCTGCATGCATGTATTTTCTAGTACATTTAATATGTATTCTCGTTTCTTATTGGTCAGAAAGCACCGGCTAATTTTCAGTATTCGGCATTTATTACGTATTTTCCGCCGATGACGTCATCAGCGTCCAATAATTGTTGGGTTTTTTTATCGAACTTGCCTCCAAAAAAAAATTATTCGACTCTTTCGTTCCCAAGCCATTGCGCGGCCAAAAGTTTGAACCTCTAAGAGCGCGAAGAAAAACAAACAAACAATGGCCTACAGCAGATTTGCTTCGCTGAATGAAAGTGAACTCTCCAAATTATTGGCATATAAGGATAGTGAAAGCACGAAAAAAGCCACAAAGGGGTAAATAGAAGTAGAAATAGAATATTTAGCTGACCTTTGACTTTGTGCAAGGTGTTTGATGTTCAAATTGTACTTTTCCTACCTCATGAACAGGAATCGTTTTATACGTTTCTCATGTCTTTAAATGTATAATAAAACAATTATTGCATTCGGCTTTCGCATGATATCAAGAATTATTCAGACCTCGATCTATGTTATCCGCGCCAGCTTCGCTTCCGCAGATAGCATTGACCTCGGTCTGAATAATTCTTGATATCATGCTCAGCCTCATCCAATAATTGCTTAGTTTTTCTAAAATTGTTGACGACTCAATACTCGTATATTTTAGATTTTTGCCTTTCCATCCAATTCAAGTTTAGCATACTGCGAAAACAATTTC